GAAGATGGGGAAAAAACCCATTTCTTCCCTAAAATAAAGATGTAGCTTTAGTTGACAGTTGGAGCCCAAAGTTAAATACTACATAAAGTACCATAGTGAAAGCCAGGGTAGTACAGAGCTGAGACTGGGGGCTGGGAGATCCAAGATCTTGCCCCGCTGAAATCACGAGGTAGGTTTGGACCAGTCATTTACTCTTAGCCTGTCCAACCTCACAGGATTGTTGTGAGAATGAAACAGGGAGGCGGAGTACCAGGTAAACTGCCTTGATTTGATTGGAGGAGGTGAGGTATAAATGAGACTAATACATAGGTAAAACACAGTGCACTGTACTGTTTACAAATACAGGTAAGCCTGCTTTATCTAGAACTGTTACAGCCCCTCACTAAAACTTATGAAAAAAATCTAGCTTTGGGTGATCAAACAAGTTCCAGACATTTTCCTCCACCCAAAACACTTGAAAAGCAACAGAAAAAGAAATTTTATTTTATGAAAGTCTTCCTTGCATGCACACTTCTGCTAATTTAAAAACGTTTCGATAATGTCCCACTGGGACAGGAAATGCATTTGTTGCATTCCTGTTTGTCAGAACAACGCAGAAAAAGTCATGCTAGGAAATGGTGGCAACCCCAATGTAAAAGAGACTGTCACTGTTAATTTGACTTCTGCAATGTGCTGCAGCCGCACAGCCAGATCGTTTTAAACCCTGCACTTAATGCTCTTATGGAAAGCTGGGGAAAGTTGCCTCTGGGATTTTCAGAATCCCACAGCCAGTGCTGGCAATGGCAAAGGATTAGGGGGACCCTAGCCCAGAGTATCTGGAGGGTCAAATATTTCCTAGCCTTAAAGTGCAGAAAAGACCTCAGATAAGAGCTCCACCCATTCCATCAACAGGAACTCTTATCAGACTGTTTTCTATCTCATCAGCCAAGCTTAGCAATACTTTCCTTATTTCTCCACTATAAGCAAAGATACAATTTTCCTGCCTGGACCAAACCCAGGCAGGTGCAACACTGCCAAGCTCAGCCAGGCATCTCTCTTCTTCATCTGGGGAAAGGCCACCTTGCGGGGGGGGGGGGGGGATGACTAATTGATCTCCAGAGTTAACAACAGGTGTCCCCTAGCAAGGGTTGGGTCACTGAAAGCCCAGATAAAACCTGGAGAAAAATCACTTTCTAATGAGCCTCCCCTCTGGAGGGGCACCTGATAGAGCTGAGCCTGTTTCCAGGGTTTCAGAGGCATGCCAGACCCCAGTGCACAGAGCCTACAGAGAAAATAGGGAGGGAGACATTGTTCTTCTGCCTTTTCCCTAGCATTTGGGACACTGAGAGACCACAGCAGGAATCTGTCACAGTTCCTCCCAGATGGTGGCAATATATATACTTTATGGCACATAACATTGAACTAAACAGCACTTCGTTCAAAAGTTGTCTGGATCCATTTGAAAGATACCATTTATTTATATAGAAATAGATATAGGTATTATTTATAAATATCATATATACGCTGCATCCCTCAAACAGATCCAGGAAAGCCTTGATTGAAATGCTGTTCAGTCCAATCTTATGTGCCATCAAGTCACATCCTAGGTGTTCAAGGTGATATATTTAAGGAGCAGTTTTGCCAGTGCCACCCTCACTCAGCAGTGAGTTTCCATGGCCAAGTGGAGATTTGAACCAAGCTCTCCTGAGTGCTCATCTGTCACTCTGTTGGCTACACACTGTCTCACTATGTACATTTATAGCTTCAGAGTACCTTGCACTGAGAAAATAGCAGTGGTTCCATTAGCACATTTGATTATAAGCTTAGTCACATGTTTTTTTTAAAAAAACTGTGTTGTGTTCCTTAAGTGCCTTATTGTGCCATAACCTTTTATTTATATTTAAACAGCCTGCTGCTCCCACCTGCAACCATGCTCTATATAGGACCCTTCTACATTTCAAGTTATTTAGAGCAGTGGTTCTTAACCTTGGGTTACTCAGGAGTTTTGGACTGCAACTCCCAGAAGCCTTCACCACCAGCTGTCCTGACTGGGGTTTCTGGGAGTTGCAGTTCAAAAGCAACCGAGTAACAAAGGTTAAGAACCACTGATTTAGAGGACAGTTTGTTATTTCAAGAGCTCTCCAGTCCAAATCTGATTTAAAGAATAATCAGATGAGAGAGCAGGAACCTATTATGGTGGTCACATGGAATGGAGGACAGGGCTCCCCGTATCTCTGCCATTGATTAGGAAGAAGAGCTTTTAGCAAATGTGATGAGCTACAACTGCTGAAAAATCATCTTTTGAACAATTAGCAAAGGTACCGTAACCCTTTCCTCCATTTCATATAAAGCAAAGCAAAGCGTGCTGCTTATATACCACCCCATAGTGTTTCAAGCACTCTCTGGGCGGTTGACAAGTTAATTATGCAGGCTACACATTGCCCCCCCCCAGCAAGCTGGGTTCTCGTACCGACCTCAGAAGGATAGAAGGCTGAGTCAACCTTGAGCCACTACCTGGGATTGAACCCCAGGTTGTGAGCACAGTTTTGGCTGCAGTACAGATGCTCCTCAGCACGAAAGGCCTGGACAGTAGGCTGGTCAGGCATACAGATCGTCTGGCAGAGTCTAAACTAGAACCCCTTTTGTTTCTAAGGCATTGTTATGCTGGTGCATACATATATATTTTCCACATACAGCGGCTGCTTTAAATGAATACATAATGGTGTCTGCTGTGTTTAAAATACTACCAAGTGCCAGGCACCAATACATAAGCTGAAATTGCTTAGTATAGTAAGTCGTAACTGGGGTAGACCCACTTAATCAATGGAACTTACAGAGAAGTTGAGTCACCAAATCTCCAATTATTCAGTGGGCCTGCTCTAGTTGAGACTTACTATGTTAAGCAACTGGACTTCAGTCAGTACTGTATGTTGTAATTATGAGTGACATCATTGAAATTAGAAAGGTGAGGTGTAGTTTACTTGTATCTGCAGATCATATTATTATTCAAGACAAAGAATGGAAGTTCTTCTGTCACCCTTTGGCAACCATAATTTTCTTCAGCTTTACTTCAGTGATGATCAGTCCTCTAAGATAGATCCTCTACCCTCATCCTTCAGCCATCAAAGATGAACCACTCCAACTAGCACACCACTGCTGTAGAAGTTAATTCAATCTATGAAACTAGAGCTCTAACTAGTAATTTTGTACCAGAGGCTTCACTACCTTGACTCATGTGAGCCTAATCGATGTGAGGAGAGGAGGGAGGAATGAGGAATTATGCATGGGCAAAATTTGCACCATTTAAACTTAAATGACCTGGGTCAAAATCCTGGTCACTTCTCCGTAGTTATGGCTTTTATGAAATCAACTTTGTTAAAAATTATTACCCATTCAGAACAAAGGAGCTACCACTGCCACTCCCATTCCACAGATCTTCAAACACCAGGACAGGCTATGGATAGTCATAGTAGCCTATTCATCCCACTTCTTAAAAAGGAAACTGAAAACATTCAAAGATCATAAACCTACGCAACCTCATCCATCTGACTTAGGCCTGCTCAGCTGCTTAGCCTGCAGGATCGCTGATACACAATCAGAATCCTTGACTTGTCCCAAATAGAAAGCACTTATTATATATGCTCTGTATTATTTTTATCTTAAAAACAGCAAATGTTGTCCTGTGCCTTGACTACTCCTAGCTAGGCAGTACTACTCAGTAACTCTAACTGATTCATCTGTTCTGGAATCACTGCTATCACAGTGTATTTTTGGTTTGGGGCCTTCTCTCTACTCACATCTCCACTTTGCTAGCTATATTCCAATCCCCATGACCATTAGATCTGGCCAGATTTATCTGAAGCATTTACATACTATTCGCGAAAGCTTTGTAAAGAGCCTGAAAAACCCACAACCACCATATATATACTTTTCATCTGATAGCTAGCACTGGCCTTTCCAATGTCACGTTGTTTTGCTCTGTGCCCCTTTTCACTTGTCCTGGAGGGTCTGCTTTCCAGTCGGGTACTTCCATACAGCACAGCAATAAAGAAAGTACCTTTTCTTTCCACAGTGCCACTCCACAAATACTCCTTCCATCTAAGATCTCGTCAAGTGGTAATAGAGTGACACTGAAAACAATCTAAGTGGAGCTCCTTGGAAAGTTTCCGTTTTTAGACTATAGATCCCAGAATCCCCTGACCAGCGTGGATAGTCATGCTGGCTGAGGGATTCTGTGTGCAACAATCCAAGAAAGACATTTTTCCAAATTCCAATTCCCATCTACCACTCCCAGTGGCAAACTTAGATTTCTTTCTGGATATTTACCCATTGTAAGCAATACTGGTTTTGATCCAAAAGGGAAGGGTGGGTATTGCTGGGTGCCAGCTTGTCTACCCCCCACACCCTTCATTGCAACTTACATATCAAACAGTTAGAATATTATATTTCAATATTTAAACTATGAATTAGGCATTCACCACACATCAGAAAGTCGACTGAATTCAATGGACAGGTTTTGCAAATCTGTTTCTCAGTCTTGACCACTGGTATTTTCACACCTGAAGGAAAAAATGATAATTTCCTTCATAAACAGAGTCTGCCACAATCAAAAGCAGATTTTAATAGCACGCCCAAGATACAGCCGGAGGGCAGATAAAATGCTTCCCTCCTGAAATCTACTTCCCAAACTTATTCTTCTAAGCATTCTGTTAAGACCAGTTGACCCCCCCAGTGTCTGTGTGCACACAAAAAATGGGAACAGACCAATAAAGGAAGCAAGGAAAAAACTTCGACTGTAGAAAGAGAAAGCAGGAAAGGCAGGGGGAAGGGGAGAAGGAGAGGGCTGGAGGCGCAGCCCAGAGTGGGAGGTGGGGAGATCCTCATGGGTAGCTCCCAACTCAGTCTTGGGAGGGGGGGAGCGTGCCTGGTCAAGATTGGCTGCTGGCTCCCCCCAAGAGGCTGCCTTGGAAGCCTGGAGGGGGTGGTGCTAAACAGCTCAGAGGAGCAGAGACTTTTAACTTCATCTAGCTTCAGCTCATTCCATCCCATCAATAGTGCCAGGCAGAAACACAGCAGCCCTGGAGAGAACAGGTTTGCTTTCCTAAGCTGAGGCACATCGGTTTCAAGGGTCAGGTGTTGAGTTTGGCTTGGCTTCCTCATTCAGCTCGGCTCCTGTCGGCATTTGTGGGCAACTCAGTCCCACGTGCCCACCACCACCACCACCACCACCACCACCTTCTCAGGCAGAGACACCACAGAGGGGAGTGTCTGTGAGCCATGATGTCACCTTGCCAGCAGCATGCCCTGGGTGCCACACTGCTGGTTCTGGTGCAAGGCTGGGCACTGTCCGTGAGTCAGGAGTACGATTACTACAGCTGGCCTTCAGATAGCTTCCAGCATGGGCGTTTCTATACCAAGCAGCCACAGTGTGTGGACATCCCAACTGACCTGCAGCTCTGCCACAATGTGGGATACAAGCGCATGCGCCTCCCTAACCTCCTGGAGCATGAATCCATGGCTGAGGTCAAGCAGCAAGCCAGCAGCTGGGTGCCCCTCTTGGCCAAGCGATGTCACTCAGACACACAGGTTTTCCTCTGCTCACTTTTTGCACCAGTCTGTCTCGACCGGCCCATCTATCCGTGCCGGTCGTTATGCGAGGTGGTGCGGGACTCCTGTGCTCCTGTCATGGAATCCTATGGCTTCCCCTGGCCTGAGATGCTCAACTGCAACAAGTTTCCCTTTGACAATGACCTGTGCATCACGGTGCAATTTGGAAACAGCCAGGCTACACAGCCACCAGGTAACGCTGGGAGACGGGAGCGGGAAGGGAAAGAGGATAGAACCAAGCTAAGGGATTATTCCTAGAGCCATCTTTGGGAGGGGTAACATTCACCCTCCCAGGATCAGACTTCGGTTCTCAGAGCCAGAGAGGCAATCGTGCATGTTTCAAAATGGGCTCAGACCCTCATTCCATCTGGCTCAAAGTGGTGCTCAGCAGCTGAGCTTATACAAATCATATTTTTGGACCACCACTGTCAGAGTTCCACAGCCAGCATGCCCCCCCCCCAGCCAGTGGGTTCTGGGATCTGTAGTCTGATATGATTGGTTTGAATGAAGATAGATGTTGGGGTTCAATTACTGGAAATGTAATCTTTGTGTCCTACTCGTAGACTTTCAAGGGTATTTGGTTAGCCACTTTAGGAAGTGGGGTTTTGGATGAGGTGAACTGACTGGATGTTGTTGTTGTTATGATATGCCATTAAGTCACCTCTGACTTATGGTGACCCGATGAAGGAGCAATCTCTATAAGGTCCTGTCCTCAACTGCCCTGCTCAGCTCTTGCAAACTCAAGTCTGTGTTTTCCTTTAGAGAGTCAGTCCATCTTGTATTTGGTCTTCCTCTTTTCCTGCTGCCTTTCAATTTTCCCAGCATTATTGTCTTTTCCAGAGAACCTTGGCTTCTCAAGATGTGCCCAAAGTAGGACAGCTTCATTCAGCATTAAAGCACATCAGCCAAGTGGTGGATTCTGAAAACTGTAGTCCAAAAAGGTCACTTTCCCATGCTCTAGTTAATACAGTAATCTGCTGCTTTCTGAGTATTTCAAAAGGTAGAAAAGATTTCCTGGCAATCAAGGGCATAGTTCAGTCCTTGACTACCTGATGGAATGGTGCAGGATAGGTCTCAGACACCATAATAAACAAGCTGGACTCAGGTTTGATCTCATATTTCGTACCTATCTGAAACTATTCCTGATCTGGTAATAGCATATGATTTTAAAGGTCAGCAATATCTCTAATGTTTCTTCCAGGCTTTTGCTGAAGTTTGTCACAAGACAAAAAAAAATTCATTTCTCATTCCTAGTAAATTAGGGAATAGCCTCGTGTTTCTAACATCAGTACTTCTGCTCTCCTCATCCTATTTCCATAATTTCCTTTTCATTATAGTGAAGCTAAGCATTACATGTACCATTCAGTCTGACCGACTGGTTCTTCTATTTGCTTAAAGATTGGCGTACTGCACGATCAAGGAGCTGATGACCCTTTAAATGCTCCTGGGCTATAATTTTCATCTCCATTACCCTGGTGAATGGGGCTGATAGGGACCTTGCTTTGTACATACACATACCCGAGAATTCTATTCTGGGATGGATAAGTACCATTTTATATGGACAGGTTTGTATCAGACCTCTCTGCAATTCAAGAGGACCCTTGGTGGGTGAATATACTATATTACTCCCCAAACGGTGGGGAGTTTAAGGCAGGCTTTGCAGAATTGTTTTCTTTGGAAGTGTGAATGGCAGGGATTTATGGTGTATGAAAATCTGCTTATGGAGAAGTATGTACAGGTAGAAGCCATGAATAGCAGCACAGACAGATATGTTAAACATGCACTGAAATCCAGGGCCCAGCAAGTTCCTGGTCTTTGCTTCTACCCAGCCACTACTTTCAGTATCAAGCACTATCAGTTCAGAAACTGTCTTCCTGTCCAGCCATGCATCTGATCTGCTTGTCTTCAGGATGTCAGACAGAGCTGGGAGGAAGCCAGAGGACACCTGGCAGGTTGCTGTGAAGGCAAAAGCAACTAAAATCCTAAGGCAAGTGGTGATCTCTCAGCCACACAAAGAGAAAGAAAAGACTCCAGCACCATCACCACCACCAATGAGCACAGGATGCTTAGGAACAGCTGGTACTTTGTTCTAATAGCATTTTATCTGCACTGTATATAGTTTGAAGAAGGCACTACATATGTTCTATCTTTCCGTCAATGTTAGTATTAGATTAACAACCTAGAGCGCTTTCAGATGGACCTGTTTTGTGTGGATGCAGTCAAGAGATGCCATCTACTTTCTTTGGAGGATGGTGGCTTAATTGTTCAAACCACACAATGATTCACCCTTCTTTTCCTCTTCATGGTTGCTGAAGTTCTTGCACTTTCCTGACCACATGAATGGATAGCCTTCTGATTCTCACATGGCTGGCTGCATGCACATGCAAGCATCATCTGCTCTACAGGTGAGCATGGATCGCTACATGCTGACCTGTAGAGCAAATGATGCTTGCTGCTAGACTGGCTGAGGTCTAAACCTTGGAGTAATGAGTGCAGAGGGTGCGTTTCAAGGGCTAAATAAACAAAGTTTTCATGTAACAGAATTCAGGTTTCTCATAGCTAGGAAGAAGTTTTAATCCAACAATGTATTCTCAAAGGCTTAATCCAACACTTAAATAAGGAACCAGCTTTTAATGTATTATATTATCTGAGATAATATGAGACAAAGAATGCAAGAGTTTATGTGCCTTTAAGAGTAGCATGAAAATGTTCCCTCAGCAGGACTTTATTTCCATGCAAAGCTACTGAAATGCATTACCTACACAGCTATTAAAGACAAGGAACTGTCTTTTGCATCTCTTTTGTTTTCCTCTTGTTCTTTTTTTCCCCCTTCTCTTTCATCTTCTCCAAAGGTTGAAAGGGTAGTGATGTTATTCATTCAAACTACTCTCCACATGGGAATTCCAAACTATCGTTTGAGAACCAGTGTTCTCATGCATTCCATTGCACAACCAACAGTGGCAAGGGACAGTTTCACCACCCTGAATTGCTCTGATTCAGGGATGGAAAATGTAGGGCCCTCTACATATGGATGGACTCCTATCAACCATCACACTGGCTATGCTAGTAGGGTTGATGGAAATGGTGATCACAACTTGTCTGGAGGCTACCTGGTCCCCAACCTGGCTCTAATCAGTAGCCCTGCTAAGCATAGCTAAAGTGTCAAGCAGAAACCTCTTCTTCCATCTAATTCACATTGGATCTAGCCACAGCATCACATCATTCCCCATATCCAGGACCTTTTATTCTCAAGGTTTTTTGGCACTGTTTAGGGAAAATGCAACTCAGTTTTCCTACACCCCTCCACATTTCTCTTCTTGTTTAGTCGTTAAGTCGTGTCTGACACTTTGCAAGTCCAGGGGGCTCTCCACATTTCTTTAATGTACACTAATTTTAACTCCAAACAATGTAACATTAAATGGAAATGCATTGAACTCCAGCAAGAACAGATCTTATTATAAGGAAATCGTCTTCCACTGCCGCCCAGAGTTTGGTCAAATTCATGTTGGTAGCTTCAGTGACACTGTCCAGCCATGTCATCCTCTGTCGTCCCCTTCTCCTCTTGCCTTCACTCTTTCCCAACATCAGGGTCTTTTCCAGGGAGTCTTCTCTTCTCATGAGATGGCCAAAGTATTGGAGCCTCAGCTTCAGGATCTGTCCTTCCAGTGACTCGGGGTTGATTTCCTTCAAAATGGATAGGTTTGTTCTCTTTGCAAGTCCAGGGGGCTCTCCACATTTCTTTAATGTACACTAATTTTAACTCCAAACAATGTAACATTAAATGGAAATGCATTGAACTCCAGCAAGAACAGATCTTATTATAAGGAAAACTGAGAGTTAGAGGAAAAAGCAGTAAAGAGAGCAGTATTTTGCTCCAAATATAGTTTTATCCAGATAGCCCTTCTGGTGGAGATTAAGGTTTCCTGATTGGGTGGACCAAACTCCCAAGCCTTCTGTTAGGTTAGGATACTTCACAACAAGTCAAAGGAGGTTAACAAGAAAAAAAAATCAAAGGCAAGGATACCCAGGTTGTTCCTGCCATTTGATGAGCTCTCTCACTGTTTTTTCACCTTACAGTTTCCAAGATCTGCACCCAGTGTGAGATGGAGCACAAAGCAGATGGCATAATGGAGCAGATGTGTTCCAGTGACTTTGGTAAGTCCTCCTTCTAAACCAGCAGCTACTATTGTGAATGTATCGCATTCACCTGAATGCTGCCATACTCCAACATGTCACCATCAAGTTTCCAGCCCCTTTCTGGGATTTAAGTCAAGGTACTGATTTCAACCCCTAAAGTCCTAAATCCACACCTGTGCAGCTCAGTGACAGAAGCAGGTCCTTGGCATGTGAAAGCTCCAAGGTTCGGTTCCGGGCATCTCCAGGAAAAAAATGAGGAATAAAACTTGACTGAAAGCATGGAAAGACACTCCCAAATCCCTGTAGGCAACATTGATCTAGTTAGTATAGAAGAGTACCGTCACATTCCCCCAGTGTCCCCTGTTTGTTTTCCCTCAAACACAGGTCAGGAAAAAAATGAGGAATAAAACTTGACTGAAAGCATGGAAAGACACTCCCAAATCCCTGTAGGCAACATTGATCTAGTTAGTATAGAATACTGTCGCATTCCCCCAGTGCCCCCTGTTTGTTTTCCCTCAAACACAGGTTCACCTTAGGACACAATGTGCTATTTTCTCCCTTTATATGCTGCTACCAGGGGATCTTTATCCACACTGTACCAAATATGTTTCTTAGACCCAGGCTGCCAAATATAACAGGTTTATTAATTGTCTGATTGGTAAATCACAGAAATGAAGTGATAGATGTTCTTTTATTGCTCAGTCATTAAACTTGGATAGGATTAAACGTTTGCTTGTTTGTATTCATTCACATTAACCACTGTAATAATACCTTATGACTGTCTATTTTCTATTACTTTTATCTCTTATCTATTCTCTAACGCACACCAACTTTCAAATCTTTGTCTTAACACTTCAGAACTCTTCTCTCACTCCCTAAGTCTCCAACTGTTCCTCTGATTCCGCTCCTCCTGTCCTGACATAGGCTCCTGCCCTAGAGCTCTATATGACAGACAGGCGTGACTTGGGCATTCCGCCACAAGTACTTTCCTGTGTTCATAAATTGGCAGCAGACAAGACTCCCCCGCCACAAGTACTTTCCTATGTTCATAAATTGGCAGCAGACAAGACTCCTGTCCTCTGAATTTACCTATTCTATGAGAATTAGAGGCCCTTTGACGACTTATGTGTCTCTGAAAACTACGAGAGAGTGTGTTTCTTGCTCGTAACATCCTCAATACAGAATTTCTGAGGGGAATGCACCTGTGACCAACTTCAATTTATGTTATAATTGTATTTATTTTATACCCATAGTGTTCTATGCCAGTGTAGTGTAGCAGAATGTCCCATTAGGTCGAAGAAACACAGGGATGGGGGGGCATGTAAAACACTCCTTGAACAATTCACATATATTTAAAGTTCTACTGGAAGCAACTTGATGGGACATGAGAACAGTGTAGCGGTTAGAGTGTTGAACAAGGAGAGATGAAAAATCAACTTTTCATTTGACCACAAGCTCCCTAAGTGACTTCACTTATGTATTGCCCAAAAGCCAAAGCTGTCTAAACAATCCATTGGCTCATTCAGATCTCTCTGCATAACCTATCCCATGGAAAAACCACATAACACAACCTTTAGCTCCTTGAAAGAAAAGAATGTTTAAAAAGACCAAAAGAAAAAAGAAAGAAAAGAAAAGAAACAAAGAACAACAAAAAGCAGGTAAAATCCATCCTGTTTGCCTGAACTTAGACCTATTACTATTGCTTCAGTATTTCTTCTGCCATTTTTTAAAAAAATCTAATTATAAATTTATAGTTGTTTAATTAGTTCTATGATGCTCCAATTAAGACAACGTAGAACATGTTTGCTGCAAACTATACCAGAAAGTTTAAGTTTTCAAAACACATAATCATCATCAACTAAACAAGATGCCCCCAGATAATAGGTTGTTGCGCTCTTACACAAAAGGCGTAACTTTTACGGTCAAACTGCCATAATTTAAGAAATCTCTTCAGGCATTATCTTTTGCATACTGAGTCGCACAACTCAGTGCACAACAAATAATGTCTATTGAGATTCCTTACATTAGGGACATTTGCCACTAAAAGTTAATGCCTTTTGCTTACCGGCGCAACAGGATTTTGGCCATAAAGTCCTAAATGGAATTAGGACAGCTTGATATTTAGAATAGTAATCTCAGTTAGGCATTAACTGAAAATAGTAAGCTGTGTTTTCACAGAGGATATCCAAGCTTCTGTTTCATATTTGACCTCTGTAGGCAGAGGTGATTTTGGGTACTGCAAAAGTAAAGTTTATTTCAGCAACAACAGACATGTGCATATAATGTGTAGCCTAGATACTGTATCCCATGTGTCTGGAAAAGTGGATTATAATTAATGAAAATTCACAAGGAAATAAATTCATTAGTCTTAGGTGTGCCACAATATTTTCAAGTTTTTGTTTTTCTTTGTTGGTATTGTTGCTGATTAAAGTAGAGGTGGTTGTTAGTTGTTTGATTATTATATCACACTTTTACTATCAGTGAGGGAAAGATGTGCTTTTGGGAATGTTTGCCTTCTATGCCAAAATACAGTGGTGCCTTGAGTTGCAAACTTAATTTGTTCCAGGATGATGGTTGTAACTCAAGGTGGTTGCATCTCAAAGCACCATTTCCCATAGGAATACTGTACATTGTAATGCGATTAATCTGTTCCAGCTGTTTTTAAAGGTTAAAAAAAAAGCAGGAAAGGAGGAAGCAAGAGAACAAGGGGGAAAAGAGGAAAGAAAGATGGTCATCACTGGGGTACACAGACCCCTCAGACAAAGGTTTGTGCTTTTAGGCACAAAAAGAGAGAGGACACAGAGAGAGAAGACAATGGGGGGGCAGAGAGTTTGGAGTCTAAAACAAAACAAAACAAAAAAATCATTCCAGCAGGGACTGAAAATGCTACACTGCAAGACCCATTAAAGCACAGAAATATAAACACACACACACCCTGAATCAAACAAACCCATTCCAGCAGTACAAGGCAGTCTGAAGCCTCTCTCAGAACGCGCACTCTCTAACCACTAGGGCGAAGGAGCTACAAAGAAGCAGCCTCTTTGCCACCAACCATTAGCCGTTTAAATTCCCCGCCTTTTTTCTGATCGTATCTCAAAGCTCCAGCTGCAAGTCAAACCAAAATTTTGCAACCAGAGCTGGTTGTATCTCGATTTGATTGCAAGTCAGGATGGTTGTTAAGTCAAGACACCACTGTAACTTGGTATGTCTTGGATACTGTGCATCTTGACATGGAAAGACAGGTCCTCTTGCTGCTCCTCCATTAGAGCAAAATGTCTTCCACCCTGGTTGGTGGCCCTTTTCTACTTCTGATTCCCAAAATGCATAAAGATTAGAGCAGTTGATAGTATGAGAAAGACCTGCTGGCCTCCAAGGTCATGGTGGGCAGTAAAGCTACTCTGGGTTTTAGTGTGAATTTTAAAGGAGCTACCCAAATTTTGAACCCCTTTAGGAATAGGGATTAGGAACTTAGATAGCTCCTCTAAAGTTCAGAGTACAACTTGGAAGAGGCTCATGGGAACCACTGCAGTTCTGTCTCCTTAGAAAAATTACTTTTTGGATTACAATTCCTAGAGATCGCCAGTCAGCATTGTCAGTGTCTGTGCAGAGCTGGAGTTACCAGCCACACCTGTCTGGTTAAGGGATCAGAAATCAACACCAAGGTCTTACATAAGAACAGCCATGCTGGATCAGGCCAAGGGCCCATCTAGTCCAGCCTCCCATGTCTCACAGTGGCCCCACTAGATGCCTCTGGGAGCACCCGAGACAACTAGATCTCCTGATACCCCTCCCCTGCACATGGCATTTTGAGGTACCTTCACTCCTAAACCATACCTACTAATGGCAGGTTTTCCCACCTGGAACACCATATTTCCTGTTATGGTTTTGATAATAAAGAACTGATGATAAAAGTTTCTTATGTGACTTGTGGAAGGCTGAGAGCAGTTTACAAGAGATATTTCCGTACACATGGTGTGCCTCAGTCTGTTCTCAGAATCCCTCTTCCACAGAAGACCTAAGGCTGAACTAGATAGTAAACAGGGGAGATGGGCAAAGTCTTGAAGAGGGGGAGCTAAAGTTTCCAAATCTTCCCAGCAAGCACAATCATTGGCATTAATGACTGGGAAGTTCTAGGAAGTCCAATTTTTTTAAAAAAGTAACTTTCCTAAGGAGACAGAACTGCAGTGATTCATATGACTGCAGTTTCTGCCTAAACAGTTGCTGTGACCAAGAAAATAGTTTCTGGTTGTTACTAAGCACATACCACCCTGTTCATATGTCTCCTCCTCCTCCTCATGTGTGAGGCTAGGGAGAGAGCTCAGATTATGTCTTGGTCATGCCTCTCTTTTTTTGGAGCAAGAAGAAAACCTGGATGGCTTTCACCTACTGTGAACATTAGAAAAACTGTTATGGGTTTTATAGACAACCAGGGTGTTCACAATTTAATAACTGGTAGTTTGGCCCTATGGCAAATACAAATCTACCATGTGAAAAACAAAATAAATAGGTAGCCAATGAGGGATTAATGAATACACCTCCATTTAGTTACAGGCAGCAGATCAGGTTGACAGTGTCTGCCTAATAAAACTTTCCTACCTCTTCGACTCCATTTTTTAATGGAGCCATTTAGGAAGGTATAGTGTTAAACCAGCCACAGCCCCTGTCCTTACAAAGACTAGTGCTCTGTCACTACATGGGTGGGATAAAAATGCAATAAATTACTTAATCTGGAGCTTCCCACCTTTTAACTTCACCCTTCTAGTCTGTCATAATTCCTCCACCTTAAACGCTGTTTCTGACACAAATCCATTTGTAAGCCACTAATGAAATCCATTACTCCCTTTCCCCCAACCAGTGGTGAAGATGCGCATCAAAGAGATCAAGAAAGAGAATGGAGAGAGGCGATTGGTGGCTGCCCAGAAGAAGAAAAAGCTGCTCAAAGTAGGGCCACTAAAGCGCAAGGATACCAAGAAGCTGGTGCTACATATGAAGAATGCTGCCTCTTGTCCTTGCCCCCAGCTTGATGACCTCAGTGGCAGCTTTCTGGTGATGGGTCGCAAGGTGGGTGGGCGACTGCTGGTCTTGGCCATTTACCGCTGGGAGAAGAAGAACAAAGAGATGAAATTTGCTGTCAAATTTATGTTCTCCTATCCCTGTTCCATGCACTACCCCTTATTCTATGGGGCAGACCCCCACTGAGACCCCACCTGTTCTTAGATCCTTGCTCACCATTCCTCATGGCACTCCTTACACTTTTAGTTCCCCACTCCTAGACTATAAAGAACCTTTCTTCTACAGGCAGGCTTACACTACAGGACAAACTCTTGTGTTTTTCCAAATTTTCAGAACTGCTCTGCCCATCTTTGATCTTCATGTAGCTTTGAAAAGCTTGCAGAAATATCCAACACACCTTCTGCAAAAAATTATGAGCAGTCTCACCAGCTGTGAGAGAGAACTCATCCACCCTAGTGTATCTTCTTTCCAATAATCCCTGGATTGCCTAGAGTTTTAGTAGAAACATCTGGGTCAATATTCTTAGTTCCTTCTAATGAAGAGTCTTCAAATTTCTGAACATTATGAGCAGGATGATCCATGCTTTGACCATTTCAGCCATTAAAGTTTATGATCATTTTGAACCTGCTTGCCAAGTGTAGATGCCCAGTTTTAAACTGGCAGACACCAACTATGAAGTAGGAAGCACTTCACTGGACCAAAGGTCCCCACCACGGGCCTTCCTTGCCTCTCTAGCCACAACATTTGTTCTCAGCATCTTCTCATGTCATGCAGCATAAGACAGAGGCCAGTGGGTAGGACATAACCCAACTTGTACATTTGTGTGACTTGCTGTAGATTGGCAAGAATTTGCAAATCCAGTTTTTAGCAACTGCAACCAAAAAATGTTCACCTCAATTAGGTTACTGAAATGAAGAAACCTTAGAATAGCCAGTGGTAGATTTTTGTGTAGAAGGATGGTGAGACTGTTTCAGCCCTGCTACCATACAAAATCTTCAATACCAAGTGTATAGTTCTGGCAGGTAGGTCCATATGATACACCTTGGGACTTCAAGGTAAAAAATAGAAAACAAAACAGCTTGAAAACCATTAACATGAGCATCTTGGACCATTAATATAAGCATTTGCCAACCAGCATAACCAGCGGTCATACTGCCTGGGCTATACTGGGAATTGTTGTGTCCTTCCCCCCCCCACCCAAAAAAACCCTTTTACAGCTATGAGTAGATCCCACAATGCTGAAATGTGCTTGTCCCCGAGAGCTGTGGTCCCAGAAAGTAACGAGCAGAATCCATAAGCCTGCAATTTACCTATCAAGTATGGGTTGGGCAATTAAGTTATAACGTGTTGTTGGAAGGCAAACAATTATGATGTCTCTGTTTCTCTCACACATCCACATAGACTCCTACTGTTATGGTTGCTGGATAGGACTGTGTGAACATATTTCAAGGAAGAATTCTATAGCACTCTGAAGCAGTGTGGGCAGAGCTGAGAGGCTTAAAACTGTTCCTAGAAGGCAATTGCTACTCCAGATGCTTAAATCATACCTCACAGACCAATATACATCAAGTGGTCTGTATACTTAATTCTTTGAGACTACTGGTATTCGGAGGTAGGGGTATGTGAAAGCGGCCATTTTTCTAGATGAACAAAGAGAAAGAGAGAGAGATGTTGACTCATAACAATAAAGCAAAATCCAAAGTCCACAAGTAGGCAATATCTTTATTATAATCAATTGTAAATGTATTTCAAGCTTTCCAGAACTCTTTGTCAGACTAAGTAGTGAGAAATTAGAAGCCAGGGAAGAGAAGCCCCAAAAAGTGTCTGGTTGTTTTAAGCCATCGAAAACTACACTAGAAATCAGTTGTAAGATGCAAAACGAGGCTTGATAAATCAGAGAACCCTGTGAAAACATATGCAGCCTCTTGACCTTTGTTAATTCCATCACATCCATCCTCTCTTCCACCTTTACTACAATACAGTTTGGAGAAATATTATGATTATACAAAGTTCATTAAGACACCATTGCATGGAGAAGAGCAGGGCAGTCCTGTGCATCCAGCACCAAGGATGCCAAGCCACCAACTGACCTGTTGGGTTACTGTGTCCACTATGCCATATGCCAGGCCAACAACCGAGATTGTCGGACGGCATACACAGGTCAAATACATCTCCCTGGCTCCCCTCCAGTTGGCATCATTCCATCTTCCTGAATGCCCAGATCAGCTGGCAAACTAGTCCTGGAAGAAATATAGCATCGATCCTACCAGTGGTCAGAATGCCCAACACAAAGCATGCTATGAGTACTGATCATGACTTATACACAGAAGGGTTTTCATAGGAACTGATTCCCAGTCAAACTCTGCTAGGGAAAAGAGGAGGGTAGGTGAGCAAACTTTAAAATAATGTCCTTTCTACTCAGAGAATCCTCTACCTTTGGATTTTCTCTAACAATTCCTTTTCATAGTGTGCTGTATAGAACCAGCTACAGCAGCCATGTCAGACTTCACCATGTCTATCTGGCTGAAATTGCTTATTAACACTCTCTTTTCCCTGTGCAATACCAAGCTGTAGTTCATTCGGATTACAGCCACCTATGCAGAGGCATGTATAATCACAGGTATGAAGACAGTCATTTATGCAGCTATAGTAATGGGTGGAAGTAGTGCCTGTCACTCTTCTATAGCAACTTCCCCCAAAAGTGACACACCTAAGGAAAAGTTGTCAAGAGTCCATTGTTACTAAACATTCTCCATTGTTCTGTACTTATTCCAGAACATATTTGGCAGCCTGGATTTTCAAACCTGCAACATATACTTCAAAACTTTTGAATTACATACAGGCAGTCATTGCATGGATACATTTGGTGTCATGACAGTCTGTACGGAGGCCCTGATTCCCACACATGCATGAGAATTCTTACATCTCTGGCAACAGTTGTTCTGCCTACCTTCCCTGCCAGATAAAGAACTACACACCTGAAAGGAAGAAGCCTTGGTGCTAGGGTGGTGAGATATGATTTCATTTAGCATCAGTCTGCTTCTGAGCAGAATCCTAAGATGTGATCTCCATTCTTTTTCTTTTCTCTTTTCTTTTAATGTTTAGGGTGTGTGGATGCAAAAGAGAAGCAAACCTTAATTGGGGGCCTGGTTGGAAAAATATAATTTGTGACAAGAGTAAAATCCAGGCTGCCAAATATGTTCTGGAATAAGTACAGAGCAATGGAGAATGTTTAGTAACAATGGAAAGGGTTAACACCCAAAGAAAGGTAGTTTGTGATATCAGTGGCAATGTTACTGATGCCGCAGGAGTATCAGCCACTTAGGTCGATAGGCAGATCAGTAAGAGCTTCCTTTATCTCTCGAAGACCATCTCTCCAATTGGTCACGAGGGAGCCATGATCCCAGAACAATCCAGGGGTGGGGGTGGTGGGTGGTGGGATAACAGATACTGTGAGTAGAATCAGGGTTGTCATAACTCAGGCTAAGAAACTTACTGCAGTCACCACAACAAAAATGTTGGAGAATAATTGGAGAAAATTCTGCAAGCTGGTGTTATTTTTTTTAAAAAATGTGAGGAAATTAAAAATCGTAGTATTCTCTGAGAAAAAAAATGTTTTCTGAAAAATTTAGGCTCAGCAATATATACTTTGAATTAGTTCAGATATTAGGAGCATCTGATATGCTTAGATTGCCATTGCCTGCAGTGAAAACAATTCACAGACATGACAAGTGTGGTTTTCCCTATGAATTTACCAGAGGTGAAATGCTGTTGTACAGGGAAAGAAGAAAAGAAGAGGCCTGAGACATCTGGATCTTCTCTCCTCACACACACAGCAGCAATTTCAGATTAAAAACAAAACATTAACGCTGTGAGACTAAGAACTAAAACTGATAATCTTGCAAGCCTAGGTTGAATATAAAGAGTTGACTATTTAGTTTACCAACTTCATCCAGTGAAGTTATTAAGCTTATTACGGTAACTTCATACACCTAGTTTAGCTATATAACTTCATACCATTTTCCTGAGAATGCCATCCTCTATCAAAATTTAGTTTTCATAAAGAAAGCCCCTTAAAAGACATGCTAAATGTGTTCTGCTGATATGTCTTCCATAAACTGAAGACCATCATGGATTCACCTGTCCTTGAACTGTGAAGCAAAAATCAAGCCAGTTGTTCTCAAACTTTTTCTCGAAACTGAAATGAGAAAGAAAACCACAAGAACGCTGCCACCATGAGGTTGCAGTGCCACATTTCCTGAAAGATTCAACTCACACAGCTTTATATCACCCTTATTGTCCTTGCCTCAGTAATCTTGACAAACATCATTCCAAAATGGCTTTCACCCCACAACTCAAGATCTCTTTAGCTGTCAACTAAATCTCTGCACCGTTGTCAAGGCAGACAAAATACAAACCCTCCCATCCAAATACCCACTACTCTGTCCCCTTGGAATTTGTTTATTTTATTTATTTATTTGATTTATATCCCGCCCATCTGGTCTATTTGCGTTGATTTGGCTTCAATCCAGACCATGCTGACTAGCAGATTCTGGTAGCTGTCATTTTTAAAAGGCAATTTTTTTCCAAATTGTGCTTGAATCCATCTCAGCCAGTGAAAATGAGTATTATATATACAAAATCAGGCCATTTCCATGGCTTTCATACCTCAGTTTACACTACCTGTACCTCGGCCTTTCTGAACTCAGCTTCCCTTTGCACTTAGCCACATCAGACACATCATTGTTCAACTTCATGGAAAGGACACAGAAGCCTTTCTGTGCCTTGCAGTGAGAGCACTTCCCACTTGCATGCTTCAGCCCACAGAAATGGATTAACTGTGTTATTTGCTTCTGTCCAAGGCTTCTGCACTGCTCAGGTGGAAAATAAAGTATGAAAAAATCCCTTGTGTTCTGTTCGGTAAAAACACAGGACCAGTTCTTCTTAACACTTAGCATCCGCAACACCTCTTTACTGAACTATCCCAATTGAACTGAAAACTCCTAGATTTTGTTATAAAGTACCAAGCCAAGAGTTGTAGCTATCCACCATCTAACTTCTTTCTCTGAGAAGGTCAATACATAAGCAATTAAAGTTTCCCCATATTTTTAAAAGGATCGTTTATTTTACATGAAATGGCCACCTATATAAATGATCCCATCATCTTGGTATTTTTTATGTTCACCCTCACGCCTGGCTTTCTTCCCACATTTGGAAAAATAATAGCACTGCTACAAAACTTTTTTTAAAAAAAATTCTCTCGTTCCCTTCATCGTGGGAACATACACATGCAACTACTCCACCCACCCCTGGCAATCTCAGGTTTGCTTCCTGGCCTCTCCAGCTGGGACTGAGATAGGGCCCTGCCTGAAAGCATGAAGAGCCACAATGCTGAATCTGGACAGACCATCTAAGTGTGAAGCACCTCCGTATCCCTTCAAACTTTCTGTCAGTCATCAGCCCTGCTGTGTTCTTCACTCCAGTTATCTTTCATAGTAGAAAGCTGGCATTACTGGTATCGTAACATCTGCATGATGTTCCCCACTAAGGTCACAAAGTATATGTACCTCGAGTAAGTTTCATGGGGTTTATGTCTAAAGAAACACTGTTTAGGGTTGCATTGTTAATCTAGTATTGATAAAGATACTGATTATTCTAATTTTTGGCTTAAATCCAACTTAGTTGCATTCCCCTCCAACTAAAATAAACCAAAGCTGTCATAAATTTCCCCATTGATTTCAATGGGACTTGTCTTATCCTGGATGTAAACCTAGTTTGAGTTCCGTGTTTTAGTTCCACATTGGTAGATTATTTCTGGCAAAGCTAAAATGCTCATTGACAAGGGGAGACCAAGTGACTTCACTGGGTTCCAATTTGCTTACGTAAACTGAAAACTACACTCCTTAATTTCACCAATTATGAATATTTAGGATTAATGCGGGAATAAAAAGTACTGAACTCATTACATTAAACACCTTTTGAAAAATATTTCAAAATTAAATTTGGAAGCAATAGCCTTTTCACACAGGCATGCTAATAAGTTCCACCAGACGTGCCCAGCAACCCACTGTGCTCCAGTGCCTTACTTCAGTGTGAGACCCTGGCCTCCTTCCCACACCTGTCATTTTCTCCTCCTGCCATACCCACGCTGCTCCTGCTATTATTAGCCTCCACACAGCAGTAGCACTGTCTCTCTTGAGCTTGGCCTGCAGCAGTAACACCACTTCCTTAGATCTGCAATCACACAAGAATAAATAGAAGTAATAAAAGCTTTGGGTTATCCTAATGGGAGACTTTGGCAAAAGCAGGCAATATACAGGAAACTGCATATTGATCCGTCCCTGAGGCAGTCTTATTATGAGATGCATGCACAATTCTGCAAGAAAATTGCCATCCGGTCAAGTTTAAAATGTCACTGCACAATGACACATGGCATTTATAAGAAATATAGCATCTGTGGGGGAAAAAACTGAAAAGCATCAGGATTATCTGTTACTTTATTACAGCCACAGACTGTAGTTCTCAAGGAGTCTATTCCTGGAGGGGACTTATTAGCAAAACAGAGGCTTTAATGAGATTATGTTTGGTGTTGATTGAACTCTGCTGCTATTTTGGTCCTCTGCTTGAACCAGTCTTAGGAACAGCAGTGGGTGACCTCTGTGCCATGTATGCTAATTCCTCAATTCCTGGTAAGAGTTGGGAGGATCATCCTGCTCAGAAGTGGTTGCAGATTGCCAGTTGCTGTGTGCTTGCTTCTCACTACAGACTTGACACCTACAGCTGCCTAAGAGCCAACAATGCATATCAATCTCCCATGTAAAGCAAAAATTCATCATACATTTCCATTCTGATGGTTGGTGGGGGGTAGCATAAGAACACTGTCAATGCATGAACAGCTCTCCACAATCTGAATCCAAAAGGACCCATTGAATCAATGGCATCTACTAAGTGCTGTCATATCATTCAGCAGTTGATTCAGTGGATCTATTCTAGCTGGGAATGGCAGTGGAATTCAGGCCGATGTGATTGCCATCACTTTGCAGACAGTCTACAAGCTGTTAGCATACCAACATGAAAATTAAATATCATCTGAGCCCATGTTGAACCCAAGGAAAATATAGCTGAGATCTGGCCAGCTTAAAGAGAACTGAAGGGAGTGAGATTCAAAGCAGAAGCAACATTCTGTGAACTTCAACTAATAAGGAAAACTAATTTTTGTTTGTGTTTTACTTTGGGCAATCATTTATCCTTATTTCTTATACCTGTAAGTTTGTGACATAACCTGACTTTTCCCTAAGGTCATTTCCAAGGGCCATAGATGTATTCATAAGATAGTTCATTTCATGCCCACATTCAAATAAACTTCTTATACCTGTAAGTTTGTGACATAGCCTGACTTTTTCCCTAAGGTCATTTTCAAGGGCCATAGACGTATTCATAAGGTAGTTCATTTCATGCCCACATTCAAATAAATTATTAGTGACACTTCAGCACAAGATTCAAGCACAAGCAAGCTATGACATGGTATTGATGAGACTCTGCCAGTGCTCTTTCCTGTTTAGACTACAGAAACATTTTTTTCTGTTATGGTTGAGGCTAGGTCGTGTTCATGTGAGGGAAAACAGAGTCTACACCACAGTTCTGTATTCATAAGAAACTTGTGGTCTTACCATTCCCTCCATGGACCACTTCAAAACACTTTTTCCTTCCTACACCTCACCCTGTTTATTTGTGCAGGGTAATAGCAGTCAAAAAGCTGAGTTTCTGGTGGCAACCATCTCAAACTAGCCCTGTCAAAGAGAATGCCATGCTTTCATAGGGTTTTTTGGTCAAAACAACCACAGGGTATCAGAGAAGACATAAGACCAAACCTATCTTATATCTGAACAGAGACTGGTTTAACAGAACTATGAGAATGCTCTTATCACACTGACTTTTTGGTTAGAGATCAATCAGACAGAAAAGCTATTCTGGCGTCTTGGGCATTAAGAATGTATGATTTTGATGAGGGATCATTTTGTGCCCAAGGAAAAAGCACAGGAACTGCTGCAAAAAGAGACTCTCTCTCTCTCTCTCTCTAGATCATTTTTTGCCCAAGGAAAAAGCACAGGAACAGCTGCAAAAAGAGACTCTCTCTCTGTCTGTCTGTGTGTGTGTG